TTTTTATGAATTTGATATACAGTCTGTTAATGTTCTAGTAGTCTTAAAGTCAAAAGTACCGTACCATTTGAATATATAAAAGTTGCAGTATAGTATCACTTTGAAAAAATTTTTTTCCTATGTACTCTCATAGTAAAATATTTTTAATATAATAAATCACATGTGATAGCACATAGGCATTGGGGTCTCTATTTATTTTGTATTATATTTTGATTCCTTTCATGTTTGCCTTGTTTTTAAGTGGGGTTTTTTTTTTTGGTCTTTGTTACTTAAATAAATGGCACCATATTGTTGGGTAAATGTCTTAGTGCTGACAAAAAGGAAGGAAGTGAATAATTTTAGAAGAAAGGCAGTGGACGTTTTTCTTGGTAGAAGTGGTTTAAAGATATTAAATTTGAAACTTGTTGCTCAGTTTTGAGGTAGTCCCAACCTCCCAGTTCTCTAAAACGTGTTAGGATAGTTTGGTAATGATGCATGCTTGACAATAAAGGCAAATTTTACATGTTACTGGGGTTAAATTATGTAAACAAAATGATTAAAACCCTCAAATTTGATTATCAAATTTCCTTTAAGAAATTATATTGCACATTAAAATATGGAAACTAAAACACTTGTAAATTCTTTCAATAAACTATTTTACTCAGTAAATAAAGCACTGTGGAATAATGCCTAGTAGATTAAATGTCTTTTGGGGGCTTAAAGTATGTTAACTTACTATATTTGATTTTTAAATAGACACCAAATCCCACCGCAAGCGAGTTTATTCCTAAAGGAGGATCAACCTCCAGGCTGAGTAACCTGTCCCAGTCAAATATGTCTGCCTTCTCTCAAGTTTTCTCTCACCCATCCATGGGAAGCCCTGCTACTGCTGGATTAGCACCAGGTAAGTTGAGTAACTGTTTCCAGTGAGTTCCAGATATCAAATCTGTAAGCACCATTTACTGTTAATTTATCAGAACTGAAATTGTATACTTGAATGATTCACATATGAACTCATTATGAGTTTTATGTTCTGGTTTTTGGTATCATAAACCAAACATGTAGTTGAGAATTTTAAAATTTAAATATGAATGGACTTATATTTAAGGATTTTTAAAAGCACAAATAAATTTAAAGGAGGAATGGTTATTTAAAAAAAAAAATCACTCTTGACCTTGGTATTTCCCCATTTTTTAAAGTCAGTGATAATGCTATTTCACTCAAAAACTTTTGTTAAGGCATCAGAAATACAGAGAATGTTGACATGTCTATATGCCTCAAAGTCCTCCTTTTGTACTAAATTTCTAAAAAATAATTTATTCTATAGCATTCTAAATACTTCTTTATATGTATTATCATTTCGATGTTTGATTATAAATGATATAGTAGTAAGTTAAGATTGTATAAAGTATTATAAACAATAGTAGGAAAGAAATATACTGCATTAGGAACCATTGAAGTAGAGAAAAATTCCTTTTGAATCATTTTCTTCCATGTATACCCATAATGACAGAAAAATTTGAGCAACTGTGCTTATACTCCAGGAGTCCTGAGGAGTAGTTCAGTGACACTTTAAGAGACCTATGATTCTTTGAAGTCTTCTCTTTTATCTTAAAGATTCATGCAAACTTGGCATCTGCTTCATAAGAAACATGCCTCTTCATATAGAAAATATTATAAATTTCATAATTAACATCATGCATCCTTCCCTGCTGTGTATCTTGATTTGGAAATCATATTGAATTCATAGTAAGTGCCGAGCAGGTTGTTACCTTATGTCTGATAAATATTTGAACTACACACACACTATATGTTTCTAGAACCTGTCCTGGAAAATCATCACTTGATCTTGGACATTTCAAAAAATAGAAACAAAATGAAATATACACACACAAAACAAAGCCAAAAGATCTGTCTAGATTAGCCTGGAACCAGTACACCTCCAGGGTTTAATCTAATATGTAAGATAAATCATTGGTTTTGATAGTACATCTAAACCCAGGGACCTTTTGGGGAAGAATGGGAGGATAAAGGTAGCACTATGGAACGGAGCATTTGTTTTAGCATGTAAAGTACCACGAGTACTTAGAGCTTGAATAACCTTATATTGCCATGGATTTTATCAGTGCCTCCTTTCAGAGCATTTGTTTTAGCATGTAAAGTGCCACGAGTACTTAGAGCTTGAATAACCTTATATTGCCATGGATTTTATCAGTGCCTCCTTTCCCCAGCATTTTCTACTCTCTTGCTCCCCTACTTATGCCTCCCTCACCATCTCCTCTCCTTCCACTTGTCTCTCTACCATTTCTTCTACTTTGGCTCGTTTCAGGTTCAAATAAATTTGTAAACATTTTCCCTTCCTTCCCAGAGAGCAGTGTCAGAATTGAATATTCCTGTAGCCTAAAAGTTTTACTTGTAAGTAATATGCTACTATGGTTTTTCTCCCATTGAGGTGTGTTCACCTCAATAGTTTACATCAGCTGAATACATCTAAAATTTTTTAGAGAGACATTGTCTAGATTTCTGAGCAGTGTCGTAATTTACCTTTTAATTGACACATTGTAATTATACATACTTATGGAGTACAATCTGATATTTTGATACTAATTTACCTTTATATGTCTGTTTATAAAGCACCCACAATAATGGGATCCATATGCCAGTCAGAAAACTTTGGCTTTCTTAATTAAGTGCCAATTTATTTTGACCTACAATGTATCTTTCCTTATATCGGAAGTAAATTTTTTTTTTTTTTTTTTTTTTTTTTGTCCTTTTTGAGACCGGCCGCACCGCGCTCAGCCAGTGAGTGCTGTGAGCACACTGGTGGTCATCCCTATATAGGATCCGAACCTGCGGTGGGAGCGCCACACTCTCCTGAGTGTGCCACGGGCTCGGCCCGGAAGTAAATATTTTGTTCACATACTTGATCAGACTAATTCAGGCTTGCCATTAAAGAAAAAAAAAAGCCTTTTTAAGTATCAGAGGAGTTAAAAATGTTAAAGGGTGAAGTAAATATTTTGTTCACATACTTGATCAGACTAATTCAGGTTTGCCATTAAAGAAAAAAAAAAGCCTTTTTAAGTATCAGAGGAGTTAAAAATGTTAAAGGGTTTTTTAGATCTTAGAAACATTTAGTTTTTAAAAAATCGGTTAATAATTGCAGTATTTGTTTAAGCTTTTCAACAGGTATTAACTTATTTGTAGGTAGGTGTTTCAGTGGTTCCAATTGGGCATCACAATTTAAATTTAGGGTGAAATTATATTAGCTGATAAGTTATTTATTCCATATAGCCCTTACATTAAAATGGTCATTTTACTTCCTGTTAATGATGAAAATACTCCCTCTTAGGAAACAGTGGAAATAGGTCAATATATCACATTAAATGTATTCCTGAGTTCTTTATAATTATTATTTCATAAGTGTTCTTCGTTCAGCTCACTATCAGCTAAGTTAAAATATTTTCCAGAAATATTGGAATGATAAATGGTTTTACATTTATTATTTCTTTCTATTTTTTCCTTTTAGTTAATGGCTTAACACTCTCTGAAGATGAGTAAAGAAAAAAAAAATTAAGTCTGTCTTATTTTCAGAAAACCATTTTATCCCTTCATCATCTTCTTCATTTCTTACTCACAAATCGTTATTTTTTTAATGGCCTGAAAAAGGTTCTTGATATCTCTTCTTTAAGGTTATGAAATAAAGTTGTAGAGTTTATTTACCTACATTGGTGGTGATTTAATTTATCTTTAATGGTTCTTATCTACTACAGGTGTAACTCATTGATAATTTTCAGTTATAGGTTTTTACTTTTCTCCCTTTTTGTTTTTTTCAGTTTCTGTCTCAAAAACAATTGCCCTTGAAAGCATATTGGATTACTGTTTTTCTAAAAAATAAGAAACCTTAAATACTATGTAAACTAGAGTAATGTCATTATATGTAGAAAACTTTATATCTGAATATATTTTTTGACCACAAATGTAAAAATATTTGAGCAAAGTTCAGTAGACATTAAGATTTTGGGTTTTCTCAAATCGTAAGGAACAAAAGCTTATTGCTGACACAAAGTAGACCCTGAGTGAATCAATTTCTTTGTTAAAATTTGTTTTGTTCAGGTAAAAAAAAATTTTTTTTTTTAGTTTTATTAGTTTCAGTGAAAGAAGTAAAACTTTATGCAAAAGTTATTTGAATTTATTCATAACTCATTAGATTTAAAAGGCATTAAAATTGTTAAAAATATGTAGCATGTTGTTTCCATTGATTTGTATACACACCTATTTTATTCTGTTTTAATTTAAGAAATTAAAGCTCGGTAGACTAAGTTGTTTTATGCACAGTTAAGCTCTGAACAATAGCTAAATTTCTGAGTTTCTTTTGTGAAGGTAGTTTTAAGAATATTTAAGATATGGTACTTAACTTGGGCTTCATTGTCTTTGAGAAGAACCCCTATGATTATATCCATATTTTTTATTTGTAAATATGCATTTTTCTTTGGTCACAGCTTTTATTATCTTCTCAGAGGTTCACAGCCTTCCAAAAGTTAAGAGCCACTGGTTTAACACACCCTTAGCAAAATTAATTTCCAGAGTGTTACAGTGAGAATACTTTTAGGTACTGTATAAAGATGCATTCTTCTAGTAGCTCTTGCTTAGGCAAAGATTTTTTGAATAAATCTTTAGAAATGAAATTGTGACTGTGCTAAGTATATGAAATGATAATTTATGCTTAATTTTTTGTGCTGTGGAAAATGAATTTATTATGAGAACTAATTGCTGAAGGTTCTTTTTCATCAGAATTTTTCCTAAGAGTATTTTGATTTGATAATAGAGTTAGTAAACTAAGCCTTAGTGTTCTTTCAGTTTAATTACCTCGGTATTAACAAATTCGCAGTAGCACCAGTATGTTTGAAAGTGATTTTAAGAGAGGTAGCAACAGGAGCAGCATACATTTCTAGGTAGACTTCTATTATATTATCTGGTGGTTTAATGTACAATTTTAACTCAGGAATTGAGCATCTGTTATTCTGCTTAATTGTATGTGGATACTTGGGAGCAACAGAGGCGAGTTCTTGAATTTGAAAATGTCATCATTGATTTATAAGTGAAAAAAAGAGCCATAGTGACTTTCAGCATTTTCAATTATTCATTTCTTCAAGATGAGGATTGTACACGTTTTTGGACCATTAGATATATTTTATTATAAATTATTATGGAAAATCTTGTATGATTGATTTGGGAGAAGCATCTAGTGTACTAAGCTTAGCATTATTAAATAACTGTATTCATTTATTACCAATTTTATTGTAGAGTTTTGGAAAAACAAGTCTAAAGAAAGTATCTACGTTCTTAAGTTCAGCTTTTTGCAAGACTGTACAGTTATTTCTTATATATTCCTGAGGGTGTTGGTGCCAAACTGATGGGTAAAATTGACTAATTTATTTTTAGCTTGGGAAAGGTGTGGGGAAGAAGGGGGTACTGCATATTTATTCACGATTCTTGTTAAGAAATGTTAAAACTTTTCATAAATGTTGTAGACTATTTAAAAAATAGATTTATTTATTCTTGTAATGTTGAAGAATTTGGGTAAGAAGATCCCTTTTAGTTTTAAAGTTCTATGCTAAAAAATAATAAAATTCTGCAGTTCATTAGCTTTGTAGCATTTTACATGATAGGTGAGGAAATGGAGGCCTAATTCATTTAAATTGCAGAGTAGTTAGTTTAGGCAATAATCTGATATTGGTCATCAATCTAGGTAGAATTTTGGGGTTTACATAGTCCAATCTTGTACCAGTCTAGAGGTGGCATTCCTGACAGATTGTCATCTAGCTTCTGTTTAGTCACTTACAGTAATAAGAAATTTATTAGCTAACCAAGGCAACCCAGTGTACTTAAACAGTTTGAATAAAA